GGGGGGGGGGGGGAGTTCCACACGTTCACTCTACGGTGTTGTTTACATTCTGTGATGCGCGAGCTGATGACGTCGCGTCATCATCATCACTACTTCATGTCAAGACTAGTTAACTTCCATTGTCACACAACAAATTTTCTTATTGTTTTAATGCTTCTTTTTCTACATGTTTTACGTCTAAAGTCATCCAATAAGACTCGGGGGGGGGTTTTTTTAAGAATAAAGGAGTGGCCGCCCGTTTTTTCAGTCTTTAATAGATTAAGATTATTTTTGTTATATACTCATTCTTTACGAAAAATACTTGGTTTGTCGAAGGCCAGAAGGTTCTGGCCTGGCTGTTTTCTGCACCACGTCCGTGCCTTTGTAATGAATGTGTATATTTACTGAACGAAAATTTTAGCCAAGACACACTGTGCTTTTATTTCCCCTTTTTAGCACAACCCTCCGTGCTTTAGTTATCTAATGTAAAGCACTGATTTGTGCTCTTTACGGCACTCTGACCCAACCTATTATGACGATCCTCTATTTGTCGAAGACAAACTCCAACATTTTATTCCAGTAGGACATTCAATTCTGATATAATAATAATCCCATCCGTTGAAATACGTAACGATTAATGTAATTAATTAATTTTAAGCGATACGAGCTAAATACATATGTTCGATTGGCAGTTTCATCGCAAACTTCTAGCCGCAATCACATACACTTTAATTGGAGTGTTATTTCTACACCACATGGCGGGGAGGGATGTCCGTCTAGGTGCGTCTGACGCACCCCGGAGTGGAGCGCCTCCCGCCGGAGTAGAACGGTCCCCCGCGAGTAGAACGCCTCCGCCAGGAGTAGGGACGCCCGCCCGCCGGAGTTGACCCCGGCGTTTACGCCGCGTGGATACGCGAATACGGCCCGCGTCAATCGAGGTGATAGTTCTACTTATCATGTCGTAACCATTCTGGCGAGGTCTTTTTGCGCTAGGACGCTAGCGTCTAAATGGCGTATTAGTCGTTTTCCGCGCTAAAAAATTTCCGGGATAATCAGTTCGCGCGTATTAGGGTCGTAAAAAGGTGTGTTCAAACT